GGATATGTGTATGTATGTATATATATATATATATGGTATGAATGTATGCATGTTTGTATGCATTTATTTGAAATGGTATTTGAAAAGGTATTTGTAAATTCATAAACATACTGAAGTATCTGTCATTGCAACAGTCCTTTCCGCTGGCTATGATTATCTAGTCGATCGTTCATTTTTCACTTAGACAGTTTGCCATACACCCTGGATGCTATTATTGTGCGAGTGCCAAATATGAAATGGATTCATGGGCAATGGTATTTGTAAGTTCATAAGCTTATTAAAGTAGTTGCCATTTTAACAGTTCTTTTCGCTGGCTGTGAATGACTATTTTCAACGCAGACAGTTTGCTATACACCATACATACAAAGTCTGGATATGTGGACCGGAAAAGTGTGCATTCATAGCCGATAATACTCGTATCATTTCATAAGCGTACATGAATACCATCTACCATTGGCCCAGTTTTTCTCGCTGGCTGTTAAGGATGAGCCCTTATCATTTCATAAGCGTAAACGTATATGAATACCATCTACCATTGTCACAGTTTTTCTCGCTGGCTGTTAAGGATGAGCTCTTTGTCTACTTCATTCGCGTGGACGGTAAATCGGTAGCGGCCCCGGCCGCAGCGTCCAGTGCACCTCCGGTGAGTCTAAGTCTATCTGTATCACTGTGAGACAACCTACACCGCTCGCACGTGATATCACGCATGTTGTTGTTGGCTCTGTATCTAGGAATACGAGCAGGGAATGCGCTTTTTTCGGGTAAACGGATGGTATCTTTTAAATAGAACGAGCATACAGTATTGGCCCTTCCGCTCCAATATCTACTATAATATCTGCATGCTCAGAGACGAGTACATTTCGGCACATGTTCAATAGCTTAGGAAGTTCCGACTACATCGTATCGGGCACTGGGGAGTGGTTCAGTGATTTCACATGCAAGAGCCATCAGAATGATACACTACACTATAGGATTCAAGTCTATATCACACGCGTCAAACTATGTAGTTTTTTATCCACGCGATAAGTGGGGGAATTGCAAGTCCTGAAGGATGTATATTCCTTTGGTTGAGTCTCGGGAGTATATAGAATCAGTTTTGTATTTGTGTGTCACCCATTCTTAGTAACCATGACAACCACAGAAGCACCAAAGCCAATCTCAGAGAAAGTGTGAAGGAGGGGGAGAGAGAGTGTGTGTGTGTGTGATATGGCAAGTAGACTCACAATCTCAACTTGTTTTCTCGCATGACTTTCATACAGAACACTGGGATGATGCCAATGCACCTCATGTCCCTGCTAGCCGGACTCAGTGCGTCAAAAGTCCCCGAAGTGCCGAAGGCTACCAAGGCCAAACCAAGCACCCAGCCTACGCCAACTATCTCCAATCCACCATTATCGCATACACAGCCTACACTGAACAACATAACTACACGTGACAGTGCTACAGCACACAGCAGCACAGCAACAGCAACAGAGGGTTCTACGACGACACACAACAACTCTACAGCAAGTAACAACGCTCAGGCACCTGACGGTTCTGTAGCACGCGATAGCAGCACCAGCTCACCATATGCAAAGGCACTGCCCGAGCAATTGGGAGCAGCAGAGACGCGTCAAATTGCGTTGAACTTTGAAGAGGAAGACCTTAGAGAGGTACAGGAAACAGAACGTACAAACTTCGCAGATGTGTTACTCGGGCAGTTGATGGCGGATAACCAGACTGGAGGTAATTGTACTGGGGGTGAGCATACGAGGTCGTCGCACGACATGAGAGTGCACAACAAGTTTAGCGCGCCGGAGACTTCAGTGGATGTGACTGAGGATAGCGGGACACCCTCTGTGCAAACCGGGACACGAGCAGTGACGAACATATCAGACGCAGTGGATAGCGGGACGCAGGCGGTGAATACCGGGACGGTTGCTGTCAACAGTCTGACAGCCGCGGTGAATAGCGGTACGAGTGCTGTCAATACCGGGACATCGGCTGTGAATAGTTTGTCGGCGGCGGTAGATAGTTTACGGACAGCGGTTGAAATGGGCACGCACGCGATGCGGGTGAGCACGCGCGCAGCTATACCGAATCCAATACACGAGAAGACTGCGTTAGATGATACAGACGGTGTATGCACGGAGGGTTCAATGGAGAACATGCACATTACATCGGAAAAGAAGTCGAAAGTGACGACACCCGGGGGTGTGGGAAAGGGGGAGGATTGTATGTGCACGTGTGCGTGTACGTGTAGGCGTGGGGGTGCGTGTGGGTGTGGTATGGGTGTCGGTGGTAGCGACGTCGAGAGGATGTTGAGAGAGCACGAGGACAGGATGAAGCGACACATAGACGCGCAAATGCAAGGGCTGCGTGACGGTATACGAGCAGATGTTCTGCGGCTGATGTCTGGGTTGTAGGTCGAGAAGTTTGAGCTTGTATTCAGAGTACCCAAATATATATATATATATATATATATATATATATATATATATATATATACTACTAGTATAGTAGTACGTAAGTA